GGCATTGAATACTGAAAATGTGCAGTTTAATAGTTTACACTGATTGCTAGTAGTGGTTTCAGCTACTACAGAAAATATTTGTAGTCTAATCTGAAAGTGTATAAAACATAAAAAGATTAGAGGTATATACTACACCCTTTCTAGATCAACCCAGTAGTATGAAAACCTACTGTGTTATCTATAGAATTAGGGCACAAGTAGTATAGCAGATATCGATCTGAGTGGCCTTCAAAAAGAAGCAGCATGAGGTTATAGATTGGTGTGATTGTAGTGGTAGTGCAGAACAGAGGACATCAGAGAGTTTAAATAAATAATCTTCTAGTTAGGTTATAAATATGGCATATAATGTAGAACCTTCTGGCAGACTACTTAAATTAGGTGACCAAAAGTTGCACATAGAACTATATATACTCTCATTAACCAAGAATGTACTACTAAATATACTTAATAAAAATTCATTCTTCTACAATATTGCAAAGGTATAAAAACAAAAAAAAAATTAAAATAGTTTAAGTTTTAAAAGTTTATATATAAATTTAAATTAAATATTACTAATACTATTTTTTATATTCAACTAAACATTAATACAATAGTTGTATTTTCAAATATGATAAAAAATTGGTAGCATTTTGTAACAATTTATCTGAATCTAAAGCTTTGTTAGCAATATCATCAAAAAATTTATTTTTATCTAATGTTAATAAACTATCACTGCTTAATTTGTCACAAGAACTAATACTATTGCTAGAAATTTCAGAAATAAATTCTTTACAAGAATTTATATCTTTATCTAATTCGTCTAAAAAATCTATAGCATGTTTATTATCATAACTAATCTTGTCTTCTTCAAAAAAATATTCATTAGATTCTACATAATCTTCAATTAGTTCATCTAAGAATATATAGTAGAAAGGTCTAACTGAATCGTAGAAATTTCTGAAGAATTTTGTATTAAAGGTTTAGAAGTATTGTAAAAATCTTTTTCTTAATAAATAATTTTATTATTTTTATCATATTCTGTTTCAAATTTATTATATAACATATTAATAAACTAATTATAACAAAGAATGCAATATTTAATAAACTAGAAAAAAAAAATTTAATTAACTAGAAAGAAAGAAAAAATATTTAATAAACTTGAAAGAGAAATAAGTAACTATCTTTATAATATAAAAAAAAAAAACAATTGGCAAACTTTTTATTAATAGCTAATATTTAAATCTATAATATAATGCATGATAGTATTATACAAATAGACAAACACAATGAGACAAATATTATAAAACAAATATTAAAAGACAAACACTATGAGACAAAAATATAATTTGATTGGCTGTAAAAAAAAAGATCTATTAAGGTACTAGTTATGCTTAGTATTTATACTTACTATAACCTAATACTAACGAATTTTTTTACTAGCAAAAAAGGAGAATGATTATCTCTTTACAAATTACAAACAACAAAAAAATGCAATGCAGATTGCTATGTATAACCAAGTAGTTTAGATATTTGTTATAAACTATATATAAAATTTTTAACTTTTTTTTTTTCTACTTATATATACAGTTATATATTTGAGTATTGATCCTTTTTTCTTCTCTCCCATTTTATTACAGTACTTATTATAGGT